CCGTATTTAGTTTTGAGGAGCCTAAGGCATTGTAATTATTTTAATTGATGGTGATAATAGTAGAGGATCATTTCCATACGTATGACAAACCCGTGTATGTAGCCAGCCTCCATTTACTTCACTAGTACCTGAACGTTCATTCTCAGGATCGCTAGATATATTCTAACATGTAAAACTCCCCTTCATGCTTTGCTGAGTTGAATGTTCTCTTTTTGAAACTTTGATTACAGGTTTAGGTCCCCATTGATGCCATCGCAGACCACTTAGCTCCAACTTTTCTGTAATTTGGACAAGAGCCATGTTGCTTTGTACTTTTAGTTAAATTATATAAAAGAATGGTAAGAGGGGAAAAGGCGTCCCTGGGAAAGATGGCATCGGTAGTAGTAAGTCAGTCAGAAGGAAGTGCACACTGCTTGCTACAGGTTGTAGGTCCTTCCTTCCGGGAGATTTAGATAATTTTCTGAAGCGAGAAGTCTCAGAGGAAGGGAGCTCCAGCCTCCACGCTGTCAGTGGTCAAAGCAAAAATTGTAACAAAATTAATGAGACCATATACCTTCATCATGCAGTGGAAAGAGATGGCCAAATTAATATGGGTATTTTAACTTAAATAATGAGTATTCTCTTCACCTATTGTCACATAGTCTGAAAAAAAAAAGCACATACTAATAAAACATCAAAATTTATCCCGTGAAAACATCCAGTGGTGATAAAATAGCACAATAATTATACAAATTATAATCTTAAATTCTGCAAAATGTTATCATTGCAACATACTTAACAGAACAGCAGTTCTGTTCTAAATGCTGTTTTGATGCCAATAAGAAGCATGCGTATTTGCCCTCCTCCTGCAAAGTTATCCAAATGATTAACTTTTCTAAAGACAATGCCTTCCAGGAGTTCTGCCTCCACAGATCGCTTCCTGTTTCACTGAGCTTCATTGTGTTGTTTTCCTTTACAAAGAGCTTTAACATCCACATGTCATTTTCTTAGGAAACAATTAGTGTTAGGATGATTCAGAGAAGAAGTATATGCAGAATTCCAAAAGAAGGCCATCCCCAAGTATTGGGTTTAATTCTAAAATTATGTTTGTATATTTGTCAGTGGTGAATTATTTTCTCCCTTTTCCCCATGTCTTTTGTAAGTTCATTCCTCCTTGCCTTTTCTAATGATAGGGATTAACAGATTATAATGGGCACCCTGATATTTAATGGTTACCTGCTATAGACTGGTATTGGTACAATTCTTAACTACAACTGAGCCCAAAAGAGTTGGAAATTCACTATTAGAAGACATCCAAGTACCGACAACAAACTTAATCCAAAAATATCCCATAGTTATTGCCTTTGAGTCACCTTCTACTTCTTACCAAATGGGACATTACCAATTTATATCTGTTCCTGGTAGAGTAATGGCTGAGAAATTTCTAAATCTCTAACCACCATTCTTTTCTGAGCCAAACATCTTGGTTTTGTGAGCACTCCCATCTTTTAAATACCTTGCCATGTGGAGTTATTCTTCTTGTGTCCATCTCTGGAAAATTTTGAATCTGGAGTAGGCAGTCCCTTACCCCCAGGAAGCTTCCCACAACCTCTCATCAACTTCAACCACTGTGTGACCATGAATGAAAGTTAATGTTAATTTCTGGCTATGAAAAAAAATGTAATTAACAAGGGGAGTCTGCTACCAACACAAATTATGCCCCTCATTGCCATAGGCAAATGGAATTTTCTAGTAACTCACCACTTTGCATTGAAATCTGTTGGTATGGATAGAGTTGACAGGTATTCCATTTTAAGACACACCCCCATTTTACATTCCTTTGTTGATTCTTCATCTATCAGATTCAAACTCAAAATTCCTTCTCAGGGGTCATCTGCTCCTCATGGGTCATTAGTCCAGGAGATCTGAAAGAACTAGGGGCCTTGTCTGCAAGCCCAGTTTCTCTGATAAATCCCCACAGACCACATGCAGCATTTGCTGTTAAGCACATAAAACCCTGGGAGGTTCTGACAAGGAGCTGACAGGTGGCTTTTGTTGTCTTTCTTAAATATGGTACTTGGAGAGAGATGATGGGTAAGTTCTACAGAAAGGTCAGTAGGGAAGGAAAGCAGGGCAGTCTCACACACACACATACACACACACACACACACACACTCTTGCGCGCGTGCACACACACACACTCATGGAAATTTTTGCTACTCTTAAATAAGTGTAGTTTATATATAGTTGGAATGCTGCTTACATATCTAACTGTCAGACACTAAGAAAAACATAGTCACTCTTGGGAAGGTCTGGAAAGGATGGCGATAACAATATGGTGCACTCTGAAAAATTGAGTTACAGCAATGAATAGGGATAAGGAGTGCTCACGCTAAAACTGAAATCCTATGTGCCCTGGAACAGATCACTAGCCCTCTCTGAGCCTTTTTTTAATCTATAAAATGAGGATCTGGTTCCAATTATTAGATTCTTTGGTTTAGAATTTTATAGGCTGATGGAGATGGTTCACCTACACTACAGCAGGTAGGTTAGTAGGGCACCCCTTTAAGTTTAAAATGGGGCACTTTAGAAACACCTAAAGGAACAGGACCTAACAGGTGGAGGAAAATATGGAGCATATTGCCATAAGAACTGGCATGTGCTGAAAATATTGATTTCCTTGCAGTTTCTATAAATAAAGAAAGATGGTTCTTGTTGGATTGTTAATTACGGGGTTAGGGGAATCCTTCCGTGGGTCTTTTGGTGGCCTTGTCACGAAAGGATCACTGAGACTGGTGAACCTGAGAAGGCAAATAACCTGTTGGCCTCAGTGATGCTTAGAGCACTTTTCCTCTCTGCCATCCTTAAATGTGCTCTGCTAGAAACCGCTGTGGAGGAAGCCAGTTACCCCAATATTCTTCCTCTGGAGATGCTAACACACAGGGAAATCCCTGCAGAGCAGACAGGATGGGAAAGAAAATGGTGAAACCTGGCCTCTGGGATATTCCATCCTAACAGCTCTGCTTGTGGGTTCAGGTGGCCATCCGCACCCTATCTTGAGTTTGCCATTTTCTGGCTGTCAGCATGCACAGATTAAGCACCAATTACATTCTAACATTAAAACTGTGGTCATAAAATGTAAATAATTGTTCTTATTCCATTAAATATGAAAAATAGGAGGTAAAAAGTAGAAAGCTAAACTCAGCTCAAGGTCAGGATGCAACCACATGACTTTCTACATCATGAATATAATGCAGACATTAAGGGTTTCTTGGCATTCAACTCGAGCCCCTGAGTAAATCTACCGGCACCCTCTAATACAGTGGTTCTCAACCTTCCTAATGCCGCAACCCTTTAATACAGTTCCTCATGTTGTGGTGACCCCCAACCATAAAATTATTTTCGTTGCTACTTCATAACTGTAATTTTTCTACTGTTATGAATCGTAATGTAAATATCTGATATGCAGGATGTATTTTCATTGTTACAAATTGAACATAATTAAAGCATAGTGATGAATCACAAAAACAATATGTAATTATATATTCAATATGTGTTTTCCGATGGCCTTAGGCAACCCCTGTGAAAGGGTTGTTCGACCCCCAAAGGGATCGCGACCCACAGGTTGAGAACCGCTGCTCTAATATGTGCCTAAGTAGAACCCCCGTTACACTCATTGCACAGTTCACCTTGTTATTACTGGCTTCCCAGGTGACTGACTGGGGTGTATTTTTAAAAATCTATTTCAGGTCATTCTGCCAAGGACCATAAGCTGTCTTGATATTGAGGCCAACTCTATACTCAAACAGAAATCTGAGAATAAAACAGTATCCCCAAATAAACACACATCTCAAGCCAGAGTTGCTGTGTTTGAATCTCAGTCCCATCACTTACGTAGTCACTCGTTCTGTCTGTTTCTCCAGGGTCCTTATCTCTAAAATGGAACTAACAGTAGCACCTGCCTCCTCCTGTTGCTGTGAGGCCTGTGAGATCCTGGGTGTAAAGAGCACCTGCTACAGAGTGTTCAATAGTTCACTGTTTTTATCATTGTTGGTGTTGTAGATGGTGTTATTATTACTAGTGCTGCTAGATTGGGAAGTAGTGGACCTGGGTTTTCGTTCCAGTGTTGCCACTTAAAGCATGTTTAAGGAAACTTGCTGGGTCTCAGAATCCTCATTTGTAAAAGCCTGTAGTGTTAGTAGACACTCTCTAGAGTGCCATCTGATCCATGCCATTCAGCATCTGGATATTCCAGCGGAAATATAAGGGAAATGTTTTTGACCTGGAAACTCTAGATAAATGCCTCGCTGCTCTAGTTCACTGAGCACGTGTCATAGTCACTTCATCATTCATTGTGCAAAGAACAAAAAAATATATCATTTTCTTAGAGAGTTATAGTCTTGGAAAGGGTCAGGTTATCTAAGTATATTTCTTTACTCTTATTAAAATTTGTAGTGGAAGCCACTGACTCTGGAGGAATATTATATTTCCTTAGACTTTAATTTTTCCTTACAGCTCTGTGTTACTGACTTTATTAAGTATTAAAAACCAAAGCTGGTATCTGCAAAGTCTTATGTAGAATTAGGTGCCCTATAAATCCTCATTTTCAGAGCTGTGGTTATATTTTGGAAAATATGCTCTTATAATTAAAACTTGTACTATAAATAAAACCAAGTGATAGAATGGGGAAAAGTGGAAGGGAGAGAATATATATAATATCTGTTATAATAAAAGCATAATATGCTAGTTAGACCAGATGTCCTTCAGGACATCCTTCCAGACGACCTACCAGACGAAGCCGGGGCTATAACGAAAGCCTGAGTCCTGGGTGCCAGAGAGAAGCTGGTGCTGGCATCCAGGGGAAGGAAGGCCTACTCTTGCATGAATTTTGTGCATTGGGCCTCTAGTATGTGTGTGTGTATATATACTCACATGTTAGAGATTCTGCCATTATTCTGAGGATGGCAAAGGATCTACTTAACATAATAAATAGAACTTAGAGTAATTTTTTGTTGCTGCAGGTAAAAGAGACAACTGAAAACCTGCAAGAGGATGAAGAAGATACAGTTGTAGATTCTGCATTTCAGAGTCACATCATAGGTAAGAATTTATGTCTTGATGCATCTTTAGCTGAGATATTTTCTCCATGAGATCTTCTTTCAGAAGATGTGTTCCCACAGACCATGTCTATGCCTTCACAATCAAGACTGGGTCTTCACCTCTCACACGTGGTAACCTTTATCTTCTTAGACATTGGAAGCTACCATAAAATAAGTGGATCAAAGCAGAACCTATGAAGAAACATAGGTGTTTGCAAAGGAATTGCAAAGCAAACTGATGAGAAGTGAGTACTAGTCAATACAACATGGAAATAATACTGAGTATAAATAAATAGTTCTCTGAGAAAAAAAATCAACTTGGAATCAATCCAGTTTCTCTAGTAATTGTCTCCAGAAGCTCCTGTGCAACTACTCTTTGTTAGAAATGTGGGTGGGGTGCTGGCTTTCTTGAATTGAATGCTTTTTAAATCGGATAATTGTTACACCAAATAATCAAAGAGATTAAGTACATATGACTTGCCAAAGTCTTCAACTCATTTTCTTTATTATTTCTGCTAGAACCCTGTTTATAGATTGTCCTGTCTCCGAAGTAAGTTTGGCTTGTCAGCTATTTCTTAAAAGTATGCATAACCTAGCTTGAAGGAGCTCAGGTTCGCAGCCACAGGGACTTTGCTGACCTGTTTTCAGCAGGCGGAAGTAACTGTGATGGAGAAGCTGTCTGTGACCGAGATCCTTGCCAGGAGATAGGGGAGGTGATAACTTTCACAGCTCTGGGCCACCAAGCACACTTGCAGAATTAGTTCTTCCTCGGGCTCTAAAGGGGCTATGAATGCAAGCATGCTGATCATTTACTGTATGTAAGACACCGAGGCATGATGGCATCATTTCTGCAAATCACATGTGGGTGTGGCAGGCAGTCTTGGAGCCCATGTCCTAGGGCACGAGAGCCCCACGGATTTCTGGGTTCTGGGATGATCAGTATCCGCCGCTCTTGCCCTTTCAAGGGAGGACCTTCAGCTGCCAGTTTTCAGCGTCTCACTGCTCTTAGCGCCACATTGCTTCACTTTTTGGCTGATTTTCTAGTCTACCCAGCAGTCTTCACAAACTGTAATTTACAGTTTATCTCAGAGAGTGATTATGCTCCCATAGCTTAATGAGACTGGCACACCATTATTATTCTTTTCATTTGTAATTGGGAATACAAAAGACTTGACAAACAGCTGAATGAGCGTAGTCTCAATAAGATTATTTTTCCAGAAAGACAGCCTTTATTGTAGTTGTCAATGTAAAATGCTTAAATTGGTATCAGTTCTGCATAGTTAGCTAATAAGCAAGTTAAAAAATATTGTTCAGCCTTCAAACACTAAGCTGTGTAAAGCCCCCATGAGTCATCATTTCTCCATAACGAGGTGTTCTTGGGCCTGTAAGACGACATACATAAACTTTAAGGCTGAATTTTCTCCCAGAGAATGCATAATCTCAGTAGTTTTTGTTTGTTTGTTTGTTTTTAACTAGACTAGCCATTCTTTTGATCTGTGCTGTTCAGCCCAATAGCTGGTAGCTACATGTAACTATTTCCGTTTCATTTTAAATCAATTAAAACTACATAAAATTAAAGCTTTATTTCTTGAATTGCACCAGCCACATTTCAAGTGTTCTGTGGTCACACATTCTGTATAGTCCACGTGAACAGTTCCATCACCACCGAAAGTGCTTTGGCACATGCTGCTTTAGGTTACTGTCATGGAAGTAAGTTTCATCACATTTCTGATAGCTGGCTTGGTCTTCACCTAAGTGTAGATGCACCTTCAGCTGGTGGAGAAATATGTGAATAAACTGCTATGACTGCAAATAATAACAACAACAAAACTAGCCATTATTAAAGTAATAAAGTCATTTAATCATCTTATTTGATTAAAAATGTGGAGGAAGACAACAAAAGAGGTATAGCCGCTTAACAATGCTATCAAAAGCCCTGGCTTTCAGTCCTCATGGGTGTTGCCTCTGATTGTAGATTGATATCTGCCAACCCGGGCACCCCATCCACATTCAAGGCACAGAATATAAGGAAGAGTAAAAACTCCTCCAGAAACCACTCCCACGACATCACCTTACATGTCACTGTTGAGAACCCATCATAAGGCCAAGCCCAGCTGCAAAGGATGGTGGGAAAGAATGTGGCATGAGGTAGTAGGACGAATGGCATTGAGAATGGCTCCTGGGTTGACCAATCAATAAGATCGTCACAGACCTTTTAAAAAGTTCACCCCTTTCAAGGCTGAATGAGACTCCACATGTCCAGTGGTTATTTATCTTTATTCCACAAGAGGGACTGAGTAGATACTTTTTAGCACTCTGATAATCCCAATGTTCTTATTTTCTCTGGACTAAGTGTTGCAACATGTCCTCACAATATTTTATAACCATAGACTATTTCCAGTCATAGCAACTAAGCAAATCTAAATATGTTCTTCTTCTAACCAAGTATCAGCTAATGTCTTTGACAAAGAACAATCAGGAAATGTGTGAATCTGAATATTTGCATTTCTGTCATTTAAGAACAATCTTGTTAACCAAAATTTTATTAGTTGATTATAAGACAAGATATTGTTAATTAAACCTGCTCTATATTGAAATTCAAAATTTATAAAATAAGTTAAATAATACAATGGGATTTTTTTAAGCCACCCTAATAAATGTCAAGAATTCCATGTTAATAAGCAACAAGTAAGTGACTAGCCTAGTCTGGTAGAAGCATTAACACAAATGGTCACAACCAACATATTTCTAATTGCTTTCTTGTTAGTTAACTATTATAACAAATCCACACCATATGTTATACTAATTATAAGTAGGACTAAATGATAAGTAGGACTTCAAATATAACATTGTCTCATATTAAAAACATCAGCCAGTGATAGCATCAAAAATAATCCCCTACATGAAGACAGAGGATTTGGAAGTTCCTATAATGAGGAGAAAATGTCTTTTGAGGAGTTTGAGGAAGAAGCCAAGTTGAATCAAGGGATGTCCAAGAAAACAAGGGTGCATGGCAGACTCGTGAATGAAGGATACGTGTTATTTTTCCTAAACCTAAAAGAGTTACAAAAAGCAGTCTGTCCAATAGCCCAGTGGGCAAATGTCCCAGTGTCCCATGGCTGAATGAAACCTGTTGACTCTCCCCCGTTGATTGGGTGGACTCCTACCTTCTTCTGACAGAACCCATGCACCAGAGGAGAGCATGACAACGGACAGGTCAAGCCCTGAGGTTCCAGCCTCTTGGGCTGGCTGTGTGGAGTTGTCTTGGTGCCCCCTCCATACCCCAGGAATTGTCTCCAAGGGATCTTTGTGGTATCCTCCTTTCCTCCCCAGGTGGCCTTAGCCAGTGCTAATGTGTTATCCAGGGGGCAATAGGGGCTCAATAAGTAACCCCTTTTCAATTATTAAACAGACCATACACTAGTTTATTTCCCCAGGTTGTTTTAATTTCTTATCTGGTATTCCCCTAGACCAGGGGTGGGCAAACTTTTTGACTCGGGGGCCACAATGGGTTCTTAAACTGGACCGGAGGGCCTGAACAAAAACATGGATGGAGTGTTTGTGTGACCTAATATAAATTCAAAGTAAACATCATTACATAAAAGGGTACGGTCTTTTTTTTTTTTAGTTTTATTCATTTCAAACGGGCGGATCCGGCCCCCGGGCCATAGTTTGCCCCCGGCTAGTCTAGCCCCTTGTTTCACAGGAGGAAACGGGAGTTCTGCTCAGATCACTTGCAGAAAGTCATTGAGAAGCATGGCTTTGCAAAGAAGGAAAATCTTTTCGCTTCTTTTTTTTTTTTTTAATCCTCACCTGAGGATATTTTTCCATTGATTTTTGCCTGCCTGAGGGCTAAGAGGTGAGGTGGAGCTATGTTGAGCCAAACAGAGGAGACTTGGATCACGAGGTACAATGTCCATTTTACCTCTAACACACACAACATATTCTTGTAATCTTTTATCATCTATAATAATAAAAGTATAATATGCTAATTAGACCGGATGACCTTCCGCACGAAGCCAGGGCTGTGAGGGAAGGGTGCCTGTCAGCGGCCAGAGGGAAGCCGGTGCCGGCAGCCAGGGGAAGGAAGGCCTATTCTTGCACGAATTTCATGCATTGGGCCTCTAGTCCAACCATAAAGCATCTCATCCATGGTAGCACTGCGCCCAGTCTGGAGTTTGGTGGGGACAGACGGAGGAGAGAGCCATGTGATAGACACATAGCTGTGTGGAGTTGTCTTGGTGCCCCCTCCATACCCCAGGAATTGTCTCCAAGGGATCTTTGCGGTATCCTCCTTTCCTCCCCTGGTGGCCTTAGCCAGTGCTATAGTTGTCAAGGAGTCTGTACACTGATTCCAGTGATGGCCCGCAAGTGCAGTAGCCTCTGTACCCGCAGGAGGAGGAAGGCTGGATGGTCACATGTCTGTGGCTGTGCTTCTTCAGGAGAAAACAGGTCTCACGGACTCTTGAATCATGTACCTCAGTTACATGGAAGACAAGAAGCAGGACCTGGGTGCTTATCTCATCTGAGCAGAAGGAATCTGGAACTGTTATTATATTAAAGCCCTAATACGATATGGCCAGCAGTTGTTATCCACATATGGATTACGCAGTTTGAATTATCCAGCCCACAGTTGTTTTTAAATTCAAGATTGTATTTCCCTACCTGTTCATACCAGTGGCATCAGGTTCAGATGGGAGTGAAAAAACCCCAAGTACAGTGGTTTAAGTAAGAACAGAAATTCTTGCTGTCACACATGACAGTCCAGAGGCAGGTGGTCCAGGCTGATAGGACAGCGCCAGGCTTCTCATATCTTGTCCCTCTGCCTTTCATGCTTTTCAATCCCAAGGTCACTTCATGGTCCAAGATGGCTGTTGAAAAACTATTCCCTATGTTCACTTTCCAACCAGCAGGAAAGAAGAGGGAGGAGGGAGGATATGTTCATGTCCTTAAGAACACTTCCCAGCCAGTGCTTAGTCACATAGGATGGAAACCTTACCC